AAAAACTGCATTTTGTATTTACTTGCATTATCTTTGTGTAATATTAAAATTAGCTTGATGATCTGAATCTTTTAAGTGTGACAAATATGCAAAAAAAAACAAAAAACAGGAAGGGGGAAAAAACCTTTTCACGGCACTGTATATATATATATATATATATATATATTCTGATCAATCACACTAATCAGTACACTGATCAACCACAACAATAAATCCACGGACAGGTGAAGGGATTAACATGGATTATATCATTACAGTGGTGGGGGTGGGGTAATCTAGGCAGCAAGTGAACAGTCAATTCCTGAATTTTATGTCAGGTAAACTGGGCAAGCAAAAATATCTGAGTGATTTTGACAAGGGCTAAATAGTAATGGATAGACGACTGGCTCAGAGCATCTCCAAAATGGCAAGTCGTGTAGGTAGTTCTCAGTATTCAGTGGTTAGTAGCTACCAAAATTGGTGCAAGGAAGGACTGCTACATTATCACAGAAAAAATGGGCTATTCAAGGACGTATATAATGCCCTACTTAGCCTATAGCAGTGTGTTATAGCTAGTTTATAAAGAGTATTTTACACAGAGTTTATTACACCCTGTGATATTACTGTGTTCTTTGTGCATCTTTATGTAGGTGTCCATGGTAGAAGCTATTCCTGGGCTCATAAACGCAATACGTATGATCCATAGCATCTCTCGTCACTGCAACACCTCAGAGAGGATCACTTCCCTTTTTGTCAAGGTAAAAGTGAGGTGACACCCAAGATAACTAAATTTAATTTCACAAACTTAATACTTTAAACTGGAAATATTATCTTTCTCCTTAGGTTACAAATCAAATGATCACCGCCTGTAAGGCCTATATCACAAATAACGGCTCCTCAACCATATGGGATCAGCCGCAGGAAGGGGTATCTGAGAAGCTTAAAGCTGCCATTCGCTTGAATCAGGTACAATGTGACATTTAGCTGGAGGATGTGCTTATATATACTGATCAAGGTCTAGATACCACAGCATTTTTTAAAAGGCAAAATGTGTCACATTTCCCTTGGCCTTTAATGCGAGAAGTAAAAAGATGTACTGTAAGTGACAAATAGGGAAAAAAAGCTCTATGAGCATGTCTGCTGAACACTGTCTTTGAACACAACGCTTAACCTTCATCCACAGCTTCATTCTTCTACATCTGTCTATCCCATTTTGCCAAGACACAGATTTTGCTAAGCTTTAAGGCTCTGATGTTCATCCCTTGTAGGCAAAGATAAACACAAGAAGAACACATAACCAGACGACATACATATTATATGTGCTAGCATGAAGATTAGTGTGACTTTATTTAGTTCAACTTCAATGTCATGACCTTGTAAAGCCAATAAAGTCTGTAACTTTATCTGCAAGATTGCCAGAAATGGACATGACAGATGTTATACCTCAAAATGGATAATTTAAACAATTCCACAGCTCAATTTATAAACTTTTTTCTACTAATTTAATTATTTAAAATACAAGCTTCACATTAAAGTTGTTCAATCAATTTATGTATTTATTTGCTTGTTTGATTGACTGTTTGTAAGTATGTGTGTGTATTTATTTATTTATATACTTTTTTAGTTCATCTCCTAAACACTGCATTTGAACACAATACTTAAAATGCATACCTTTTAGGGGAAAATAAATACAAGAAAACAACAAATAAGTTATAAATAATAAGTGGTGGAACAGTAGATGAATATTACATTTAAAATATTTTGATATATTGAACCAGATGAATAACTTGTAAACACAAATCTTTCTGTTCAATATTTTAGGAATACCAGAAGTATTTCCAAAAAACCAAGCAGAAACTGGAGGAGAATCCCTCGGAGTGCCAGTTTGACTTTAGCGAGATGTACATCTTTGGCAAGTTTGACACATTTCAGCGATGGCTGAACAAAATTCTAAACATGTTTAGCACCATTACCACCTACAATGCCCTGCAGGACTCCAAAATTGAGGGACTGGAAACCATGGCAACCAGATTTCAGGTATCATGGCCATGACGTAGTGGTCTATTTTTAGATTTGCACAGAAGACAAAAGAACATACCCAGAAGATAATAGTGTAATTCCTGAAGTAAGTATAGGTTGCCTTCTTTAGCGGCACATACATGTTTAATTTGGATGAGGCATTTGTTAGTGAACTAAAACAACTGTGTAATCCGAGATTTAATGAAAGGTTGTCAAACACCTCAGTCTGTGCAGCCATTGTAAGATATTCACAAGAACCATATTATACACCTGGGGTATAATTAGAATTTATTAAGATCATTGTAATGTACTGTTCATAATGGTAATGTGTAAGTCTCATAGGGTGAATACTGGTAAAGTAGGCCGGTTTCAGATAATCTACAAATGGTTACATATTATTCCATAATATTTTAGGGATAGTCCATCCAAAAATTAACATTCTGTCATCATTTACTCACCCTCATGTCGTTCCAAAGCTGTATGCTTTTCCTCCGTCTGCTGAGCACAAAAGAAGATATTTTATGAAGAATGTTGATGACCAAACACCATTAACTTCCAGTGTATTTTTTTCAATGGGAAGTCAATGGCAACTGAAACTGTTCATTCTTCAAAATATCTTTTTTTTCACAGAAGAAAGTTATTACCAATTTATAACAGTACAAAGGCAAGTAAATGATGACAGCATTTTCATGTTTGGATGGACTGTCCCTTTATTCCTGATGCCCAGTATCGGAGGAATATACACATAATGATAAATATTAATATTGTCCCACTTTACCTGTATACAACTGCTTTTGCATAAAAAAGATGGATGGCTTTTAATGGAGGTTTGATTCAGTATATAACATTTTTTTCTGGTTGGAATAAGCATTGTTAACATGGACTAAGTGGTATTTGTTCTTTCTGCTGCCTACCATGGACAGACTGCAGATATGCTGGGGAAGTGGGAGGTAACTGTAAAGGAATAACCTGTTTTTAACATAAAGCATGTCTCATCATAAAGCATTAAACAGCATGGGAACTAAAGCCATATATTTAACTTACAAGTAAAAATTGCCCTTTTACGCTGATCTGACATCAATATTGTGGTTTATTTTAAAATCACAAAGGCCCTGATTTAAGTTGGCAGGCCTGTCCTGGATTTGCATTAAAGGGCAAATGTTACCTGTAGCTAAAACCTAGTATTGTCGTACTGTGAGTCCATTAACATTCATTGCATCTCTTTATTCCAGTCACAAGTTTATTTATTCACTCTCATTTTTGTGTCCATGGAAACAAAGTTCAGACCCAGAGCACTCCATGCTCCAGGAGTACTGAATAATTGAACAAAAGCTGATAAAGTCTATCACTAACTCCTGTTCGTTGCGAAAGTTGACAGTCTGTAGGAGTCAATTAATATTTTACTGCTCCTCTGGGCATTTAAGGTGTGCTGGTACACACTGCTGAGTGCTGGGGTAGCAAACGACTGAATATTTGTCTTTCCAACTGGGAATGCTTTTGGTACAAGATCTGTTCATGGTTGTTCTATCAAAAGGCATTACAGGAATACCTATCATAATTTACCTTCTCTCGTGTTATTCCAAGCCTGTGATACTTTAATACTTTAGAGGAACACATGGCTTCAGAAGACTTATAGCACAATAAGCTGTATGGACTACTTTTATGGACTTTTTATTGTCCATAAAGGAGCTTGGCAGCCACTGGTTACTGTGTTTGTTATTTTGAAAAAGCAGTGTGAACATTCTTAAACATTTCTTTTTGTGATCCCTATGCCAATTAACAAACAATATTGAACAACATGAGGTTGACAATTTAGGTGAACTATTGCACATTTCGGCATGTAATAAATATTTATGTGTGTGTATTAGTGATTATATTGTCCTTTGTATATCTAGACCATTGTGTTGACCAGGAAGAAAAAACAGTACAGTTCCCTGGACCAAAGAAGGACAGACTGTAATCAGGACTATGATGAATTTTGTAAACAAACCAGTGAACTTCATGTAAGTATGTTTTCAGTTTTGTTTTATTATTTATTATTTTTATTTATTGCTATAAAATTGCTTATACTTTAAATATTTCTTTCTAGAACCAACTGAAAACTTTCATGGACAACACCTGTGACAGAATTCAAAATACTGAGCGGGCTTTATATGTGCTCAAGAAATTTGAAAGGTAATAATATTTTGTTTTTTTTCTCACTTTGGGTCAGCTCTCATTATTAACTAACTATTAACTATAACTTTTGCTTCAATAAACTCCTAATTTATCCTTATTAATAGTTAGTAAGGTAGTTGTTTAGTTTAAGTATTGGGTAGGATTAAAAATGTAGTAGAATATGTGCTTTATAAATATAGCAAACAGCCAATATCCTAGTAATATGCATGCTAATAAGCAGTGAGAATTGGTCCCTACACTAAAGTGTTATTTTTTTATTTTTTTATAAACTAATATTGGTTGTTTATTAGTACTTATTAAGCAAATATTAATGCCTTATTCTGCATGACCATATTCTAGATTCCTTTAAACTACCCTATTTCTAAACTTAACTACTACAACAACTGCCTCACTTACTATCAATAAGCAGCAGATTGGGAGTTTATTGAAGGAAAACTCTAAGTTAATAGTGAATATGTGTTCCTTAATCCAAACTGTTACAAAGAATTATAATGTTTCTGTTACTGTATTTGTACTGTTTATTTGATCAAAAAATAAGTAATACTGTAAAATGTTATTGCAATTTTGAATAACAGATTTAATTTATTTCAACTATATTTTTATGACTTAATTTATTTATTTTCCTTAAATGTTTAAAAGAACAACATTTATTTGGATTTTTAAAAATTATTGATTTAAACTATTTTAAATAAATAAATAAACATTTTCATATCACCAGGCTTGGCATCCCAGACTTGGGCATCAATGAGAAGTACCAGAAAATTCTGCAAAACTTTGGAAGGGACATTGAGATGATCTCTCAAATTTATACCAAGCAAAAGACAGATCCCCCCATTGCTCCAGATCTCCCTCCAATCTCAGGGAAGATCCTCTGGGCTCGGCAGCTTTACAGCTGCATCCAGGAGCCCATGGATCTCTTCCAGCAGATGCCTGGGCTATTCAGCACCCCAGATGCCAAACCCATCATTCGAAATTACAACCGGGTGGCCAAGGTGCTGCTGGAGTTTGAGGTGCTTTATCATCAGATCTGGATGGCAGAGGTCAGTTGTCTTGTAGAGTCAAAATAAGGAACTGTTGACTACTTGCTTTAGTTTGACTCTTTGCTCATGTGCCACTTTCACTTGGTGATGTGTTTTAAATAATTCATTTTCTTACCCTGTAACTGTTCATTTATTTACTTTAATCTTTTTTAAGATTGTAGACATTTTTTAAATAAATATTTTATAGATTTTTATAGAAAGCAATTCTGGTCATCTTTACAGATATACAATAACTAAATGAATCAAATGCAATTTTATTTTTCTTTTAACAAAACAACCAGTCATATTCATCTGTTTGTCTGTAGGTTGAAGCAGTTAAAGTGGGCCTGCAAGCATCTTTGCTCGTCAAGAGTCCAGAAACTGGGGAGCTGTATGTGAACTTTGAACCCCAGATCCTGACGCAGATTCGAGAAACAGACTGCATTCAAGGAATGGGACTGGATATTTCACCCTTTGCAGCCATCTTGCAGCAGAAAAAGGATGTTTTAAAAAAGAACTACAATAAACTACAGGTATATCTACTTGTAGCCTTTTTTTATTTGTGGCTTTTTTATTGGTCTTATGAAGTATTCTAATTTGTTGAGATGGGTGGAGCTGGGGGAGGTAGAGGGTTTCTGAACCAAACTATTTAAAAGTTAAGTAGCAAGCTCATTGGCAGTAGAATCAGCACAGGCCAATCAACTTGTGCCATGCTGGTGGATGTCATTGTTTGCAGATTGCATTAAGAACCTATAAACCTGCGCCATGTAGAGTTTCATGACTGAACTAGATGTCACCCCGCTTTTTTTTCCAAACCTGTAAGACTTGTGTTCATTTTCAGAACACAAATGAAGATATTTTTAATTTTTCTCATCATTTTTGTCCATCTTTTGAAATTTTCAAAAGTTAAAGACATCACAAAAGTCATTCATATGAATAAAGCGGTTTAATCCAAGTATTCCAAAGAGACACAATCTTTATATTACAACTAATTTTGGCTTTTATTCTCAAAGAAACATTGATCAACACACATACAGTGTGCCAGTGTTATTTTAGTTTCCTTTCATTAATATTTTGAATTATTTTTATTTTTAGATTTTGTCTTTGGTTTCAGTTGAATCTTTACATGATAATATTTATATTAATGTTCTGTGTTATTTTAAAAAGTTATTTTATTTTTCATACTGATTTTTGTTTTTTTCAAACCATTCAAGTAACCCCATCAGGTCAATGTACATACTGTGACATGTAGCTTCACTAATAAGGTCATTTACTTTGCTTGTGTGCTGTTGCGTCATTTGTTCCTTGCTTCAGTTGATGGTGAGAGAGAACTCCAGGGTTAGGTCTAAGATCCAGCCAGCCTTTGAACAACTGCTCATGCCACATGTGGCTAAAGTAGATGAGGCCATTCTGCCCGGTCTGACCTCCCTCAGTTGGACCTCTCTTAACATAGAGAAATACCTTAATCGAATCACTACTGCACTTGGTGAGAGACTCCACTTTACAGCTGATTTCCATAATCACATTAGGAACATACACTACAGTAAATGGCCACAAGTTCAGTATGTAGACACCCAATTATATACTTGATGAACATTTAATATCAAGGCCACTGCCATTAATAGGAAACTTGTCCTCACAATGTCATTAAAACAGCTTCCGCTCCTCTTGGAAGGCTTTCCACGTTATCCGGGAACATGCCTGCTAGGATTTGCTGTTATTTAGAAACAAGCATTAGTGTGGACAAAGGGGTGTCCACATACTTCCAGCCTTTTTGTGTACACGAGACATTTGTAAATGTGCCCTGTATGATTAGATATTTGAAATGAAAGGGTTCTTTCTCCTGGCTCACAGAGGACCTTGAACTTCTGCTGCAAAGAGTGAATGACCTGGTGGAGTTTAGAATTGATGCTGTTCTCCAGGAAATGAGCACAACTATGCTGTGTGTGGTGCCTGAAGATGAGCCATGCACCTGTGAGGAGTTTGTACAGACCACCAAGGTACACACATAGATATACATAAAATATTTAATATTCTATATTCATAGCAACATGCTGTTATTTCTCAAAGGACATTGAGGCAGAACCAGTTCCACTTGCTAAAATATATAAATTCAGATCAGTGAAATTATAGGGCTCTTACAACCCGATCTCATCAGAAAACTATTTGACGAGGTGGTGATTTTGTATGAATTTGTGATTTGTTTGGAAACATACGATTTTTATAAAGAAGCATAAACGTCTACCCCTAAAACTGTCTGGAGCGTCAGCAGATTGTACAAAAATGTAAGAATGAGATATTTCTACAAATTAGTGAACTAGATACCAGTTCACCAAACTGGTGTCAGTTTGACTCTCAGTTTAAATTTCAATGTGACAGCAAAAACTGTTCTTATTCACTTTCAGTCTTCTTTTACATTTACATTACATTTAGCCATTTTGCAGACGCTTTTATCCAAAGTGACTTACAATTGGGGAATACTGTACATAAAGCGATTCTTCTTAAAAAGGCAAACAGACACAGGAAGTGCTTGTAATACCAAGTTGTAGGCATTGCTCAAATAAGTACAAGCTAGAAAGGGAAGGAATAAATAAAGAGAAAAACAAAGTTGAAAAGAGATGAGTTTTCAGCTGTCGCTTGAAAATTGTCAGGGATTCAGCATTCCGGATAGGGGTGGGAAGATCATTCCACCAACCAGGAATGGTGAACGAGAATGTTCTGGAAAGTGATTTTGAGCCTCTCTGTGATGGTACCACGAGGCGTTGCTCACAAGCGGATCTTAGACTTCTGGAGGGGATGTAGATTCGTAGTACTGAGCGGAAGTAGGTGGGTGCTGAGCCTGTCGCTGTTCTATAAGCAAGCATCAATGTCTTGAACTTGATATGATGGTGAAATCATGCTGTAGAGTTGGAGTGGCAGGGAAGACAAGAAGCTCAGTCTTTGCCAGGTTGAGGTGTAGGTGATGTTCTTTCATCCATGCCGAGATGTCCGCCTGGCAGCCTGAGATCTGTGCAGCTACCGTTGGATCATCTGGCTGAAATGAGAGACAGAGCTGTGTGTCATCAGCATAGCAATGGTAGGAGAAGCCATGTGCCTGTATGATGGGACCCAGTGATGTAGTGTATATGGAGAAGAGGAGGGGTCCAAGAGCTGATCCTTGAGGAATCCCAGTGACCAGTTGATGTGCTTTGGATACCTCCCCTCCCCAGGCCACCCTGAAAGACCTACCAGTGAGATAGGATTCAAACCAGTGAAGTGGAATCCCTGTGATGCCCAGTGATGAGAGGGTGGACAGGAGGAACTGATGATTCACTGTGTCAAAAGCAGCAGATAGATCCAGCAAAGCAAGAGCTGATGATTTGGAATCAGCTTTTGCAATCCGCAGGGCTTCAGTGACTGACAGTAGCACAGTCTCAGTTGAATGGCCACTCCTGAAACCTGACTGGTTAGCGTCCAGTTTGTTGTTCTGTGAAAGAAACAATGATAGCTGGTTAAAAACAACTCGTTCGAGGGTTTTCGTTATGAATGGAAGGAGAGAGAGAGGTCTGTAGCTATCTGTAAATGAAGTGTTTAATGTAGGTTTTGTGAGCAGTGGGGTTACCCAAGCCTGCTTGAATGCAGTGGGGGAAAGTGCCTGTTGATGATGTGTGTGAGTGCTGCTAAGTGGAAGTAGGAAGATTTGGCAGTATGGACTTCAGCAGAGAAAGATGAAAGCAAAAACTGATACACTCCGAGAGTTAGTAGACATGTAGTTGCAAATTAATGAGAATTAGTTAAGTGGTTGCAAAGTTACATATAGTTAGTAGAAACTATGTCTAAAGTGGACTATCAAAATAAAGTGTAACCAAAACTGATTTTTTCATTACATTTTATTATAGAAATGGTACCAAAATAAAATTTTTGGGCGTCTTGTTACTGCTGTCATTTGCTATTAGGCCGACATCTTTTTAAAAACCTAATTTCTTGTTGTGACTACACCAGAAAAGTTTTCGGAATGAAGAAATAATCAGTCTGATCATGCTCACTCAATTTATTTTCCATTTTAGGAGCTTTGCATCAAAGGAGCCCAAATGCTACATACTAAAAGCTCATTGGTGGAGGAGGCAGCCAATGAACTGATTAATATGTTACTGGAATTTGAGCAGAAGGAGGAACAAGAGAGAAACCGGGATGAGAGCATGACAGAGAGCAAAGTGGAACAGATGGGCAGTGATGGTAAGAACTGCTGTTCACCATCCATGCAATTGGCACCAGAAATTAACTTTTTTTAATTTAAATTATTTTTGAATGAAATGCAATTTGCTTTGGATGAAAGCATCTGCCAAATGCATAAATCCAAATGAAAAGAAAAAAAAATCAAAATGAATCATCCTTGAGCATCAGTGAATGCATCTTTTTGTATGACTCCTTAGTGGTCCTCAGTGTGAAAGGATGGATCTCAAAATCTTACTATCACTGTGGAAAAGTTTTTAAATATGCAGAAAATGCTGAAAAACCAAAGAATGTGAAGGACTAGGCCTTATTAATTCTTTGTAGCTTCTCATATTCCAAGTGCTTAATGTAATATTTGTTGATCATTTCTGTTTTATTTATCCAAAGGAGAGGAGGAATGTAAATCTGAGGGCCGTCTCTTGTCACGTAGCACCATGGTCCCTAGTGTCGCCCCCTCTTCTCCAATGATGAGAAAGAAGAAGAAGAAGGATCTGATGAAGGTGATGGAGGAGGAGACAAAGGAGCTACTGTCTCATTTTAACCATCGGAATGTGGATGCATTACTGCGCCTCACCCGTAACACGCTGGAGACTCTACGCAAACGCATCCATGCAACATCACTGATGCATTTCCTGGGTTTGTGAAGTCACTTCCTTCAGTGGTTTCACTGATAATACTTTAGTACATTTATTACTGGTTTATTTAAAAAATGTATTAAGTCAAAGTTTTTCTTAAGTTGTGTTCACCTTAGCAAAATTTCAGTGGAGTTTTGTGTGCAAATAGGCCTATTGACTATTGTCAATTAAAGCAGCACTGCTCACACAGAAGTTTCTTTCAAACAAGGCAGCCTTCTGTTGTTTAGCGTGACAAATTCACACGACTGATTTGAAAATGTGCCAAATCACAGTGGGGGAATTTTTTTGCCCTCACACCAAACTCTTGAGCTTGTGGATTCTTATTGGAATGATTGATTTTGCCAAGTAACAGTAAACCTTTATATATTTTTTCCAAGCATGAAGCTTCATATAATGAAGCTACAACAACTATAACTCATTGTTATTAAAGGGATAGTTCACCCCAAAATGAAAATTCTGTCATTAATTACTCACCCTCATGTCATTCCAAACCCGTAAGACCTTCATTAATCTTCGGAACACAAATTAAGATTATTTTGATGAAATCAGAGAGCTCTCTGACCCTCCTATAGACAGCAACGCAACTGCAATGTTCCCATTTCCAGAAACGTAGCAAGGACATCGGTAAAACAGTCCATGTGACATCAGTGGCTCAACTTAAATTTTGCAAAGCTACGAGAATACTTTTTGTGTGCAAAGAAAACAAAAATAACAATTTATTCAACAATATTTGTGGAGAATACCATGATGCATGTGCGCGCTTTCCCCAGAACGTAATCAATGTAATCAGTGTTGTTTACATTCAGCATGCGCGCGTTTTCTCCTGAACGTAAACAGCGCTGATTACGCTGATTACGTTGATTACGTTCTGGGGAAAGCGTGCACTTGCGTCATGGTACTCTCCAAAATGGTGGAAGACGGTAACTCGGGGAGAAGAATTGTTGAATAAATTATGTTATTTTTGTTTTCTTTGCACACAAAAATTATTCTCATAGCTTCGCAAAATTTAAGTTGAGCCACTGATGTCACATTGACGGTTTTACCGATATCCTTGCTATGTTTCTGTGACTGGGAACATTGCAGTTGCGTTGCTGTCTATGCAGGGTCTGAGAGCTCTCAGATTTAATCAAAAATATCTTAATTTGTGTTCTGAAGATTAATGGAAGTCTTACGAGTTTGGAACGACATGAAGGTGAGTAATTAATGTCAGAATTTTCAATTTTGGGTGAACCAACCCTTTAAATTTCACTTCCCATTCAGCAGAAGCAGACTCCTCAAGTCGGCAGAAGGGAAGTGGGCAGCAGCCAATCTTTAGGGTAGGAGTGTGTTTAGCCATCCCCAACATCATCATGGTTCCAGGGCTAGATGAGGTTCAGCAAGCCTTGAACAGAACTGTGGACTGTGTGGTCAGCGTCAGTAAAGGAGTTGGACAGTGGAGCAAGGAAAGAATTTCCAAGGTTTGTATTCATTCATTAAGACCATCTGACTCAATTAACTTTTAAGAGATAATACGCATTTAAAAGTAGACATAGTGTCTATTTACACTGAGTGCAAATGACCAACCTTGATGGCAAAGGCAATTTTTCACTAACTATGCACACCATTAGTACAAATAGCATATTACTTCTATTAACAATTTTTGTGGATAGCATCTATCACTGCTTACACTTAAACAAGATGCTGTTTGTTCATATTTACTGTATACTTGGTTTGAACACTATATACTATATGTATCTACTATATACTATAACACTATATATTGAACACTAAATAGCCACTCAGGCTAAATAGCCGTTCAGGAGAATGAAACAACATTAAACATAGAATAAATGAAAGAATGCAGTTCCCGAATTTTTTTTTTCAAGAATATATAAAAACTATACAATGTATACAGAAGCTGTAATACTGAGCAAAGGGTCTGAGTACTTAGGACCATGTGATATTTCAGTTTTTGTTTTTTAATAAATCTGCAAAAATGTCAACAATTCTGTGTTTTTCTGTCAATATGGGGTGCTGTGTGTACATTAATGAGGAAAAAAAATTAACTTAAATGATTTTAGCAAATGGCTGCAATATAACAAAGAGTGAAAAATTTAAGGGGGTCTGAATACTTTCCGTACCCACTGTATGTGTCCGAAGTAGGACATTTCATGAGGAAAATCTTCACTGCCATTCAAAATTGTTTAAGAATACCATGTTATGCATGTTATACCTAACAAATTCATGAATGTTGCTCTTCATAGTCTTTCATCAAAATGCAGTGCCCTGAAACACGTCCCTTTTCAGCTAATGTTACCAATGCCTTTTATTTTTTTAACCCATCCTCTTGATGAAAAGTCCCACCCTCCATTCATTTTTGTGAAAAATCCTGCTTCGCTTCAAAATGTCACATTATACAAGTAAAATGGGTTTCAAATGCCATTTTATGCTGAGTTTAAGTAGCCTATAGTGTACCGTACCTAGTATTTTATTCTCATACTCTGTAATTATTTTGTTTTCTTGAACTGACATGAACTCAAAAGTTGCTATAGGCCTACAAAATTTATGTAGTTCTTGTTTGATTGTAATGTATGCAAAATGTCAGACTTGTGTATTTTTGCTGTCACAGAGGAAAATGAGTGAGCGACGCATGGCTGCTCTGAAACAGAACAGCCAAGAGAGTGAATCAGAAGATGGCGAATCGACCTATCGCAGCTTAACCGGTACGACTCTTACTTACCCTCTGTAATTACACAGCTCAGCAGAGCAAATCAAGAACTAACTGGTCTTTGGTCAGTTTAAAATTTATCTTTATAATAGTTGAAAACTGAAGCTCTGGATGGATAAGTTCATCTCCAATCATTTGATAAATAAAACTGGGGAATAAAGATAATGAATGCAGACAGTGGATGTGATTTTGTGAAGTGGTGACATGTCCCTAGTGTCATGGTAACAATCGTATCCACATCATTTATTCTCTCTCTATCGCTTGCTCTCAGAATAGGGAAATTGACAGAGTACAGCAGTCACAACAACATATCTCTTCTTACTGTAATGAAACAGCTCTGCCTGTAAACCCTTCATCCTCTGAAACAGATTGGAGATAAAGGGTCCTTCATATAACTGATTTGAGGCAAAAAGATAATATTACTGAATCCCTCTCCCACAGCTCCTCTCTGCTCTTGTTTATTAACTTTGATTTCTCATCTTTGAATTGAATGTTTTGTTCTTCCAGAAGGCAGTACCTCAGATATATCGGCATCTGCAAATCAGGCCATTCCTGTCCAAATTAAGAACTATCACAAAAGCATCTCTGAGAACAAAGAGATTGTCAAGCTGGTCTCTGTGCTTAGTACGTCCATCAATTCCACGAAGAAGGTCTGTTTCAGTTTGTTGTTTTTTACTTACTTAAGAGTTTAACTTGGTTTGAGTCTGGATATTCAAGTCAGAAATATGATTGTCCCACGGGACCAAGTCTGTATAGCTTTAACTGAATATGTTTTTTTTTATTTGGTTGTGATTCTTTCATGTACTGTACGCAGGAAATAATGAACGCTCTGGATCCCTTCAGCCTTTATCACCACATCTGGAAGAAAGATCGAGAGGAAACCATCCAGAAATTCATCCAAGGGAACCCTCTTCTTTCTGAATTTGAGTCGCAGATTCTGTACTACAGGGATCTGGAGCTAGAAATTAATACAGAGCCTGAGTTTATCTCAGTAGGAGCTCTGGCATTATATACAGGTAGACAGACTCTGAAACTAAGAAAGCTAATAGTGATAGAGAGGTTAGAGATAAGAGGCTTGTTTATTTAAATGGCACAAATAATGGTTGCAGCAATAGTGTGAACATGTTTAATATTGCTGTTCTTGTTTCTAGGTTGTAATATATGCATATTACATTTATTTAAATTGATTTTATTTAGGTTAATTAATTATTTATTATTTCAAATATTTATTACTGTACGTATACGTAAGTAGCAGTGTACTTATTACAGATTTCTGGAGGAAAGAGTTGGTTATTTCATTTGATTATTATTATTATTATTATTATTATTATTATTATCTTTGTTATCTTAAAGACCTCTTTATTCTTTGTGTGTTGCTGAAATTACCTACAGCGGATCTGAAATTGTCTCTTACTGCTGAGACAAAGAGTTGGATGGTGGATTTTGGTCACCACTGCAACAGGAAGTATCGCATGGAGATGGAACAGATCTTCACTTTTATAGATGAGGCGAGCAAGAAACTCAACAGGACGATTAAGGACTTGGATGATATTCGTATCGCCATGGCAACGCTTAAATTGATCAGAGAACACCAGATCTCCATCGACTTTCAAGTTGGTCCAGTTGAGGTACATACAAATATAAAGACAAATAAAGCATGTAGGGTCTATATTTTATTTTAAAAATTTTGAATATTTACACAGCTGTGTATTTACACTATAACTGACACCTGTCAAACTCCTATTAGGATAAAAAATAATTATAAAAGGATTCCATACGATTTGCACAGAAGACTTGGAATAGAGACAGAATATAACTTATATATTGTCCTTTGGTATAAATTCAATGTCTTTTTCCCTGGTTTTGGCCTGCAGGAATCATACAGCATGCTACATAAATATGGATTGTTGATTGCCAAAGAGGAAGCAGACAAAGTGGACACACTTCGGTACACTTGGGAGAAACTGCTTTCCCGTAGCACAGAGGTGCAGAATGAACTGGTGACCCTTCAACCAAACTTCAGGAGAGAACTCATCAAAAATGTTGAGATCTTTGTAGAGGACTGCCAACACTTCTACCACGACTATGACAAGGTGAGTCCTGAGGGGCAGGTAAACTCTATCCATGCTCTTCTTTCACTTTGAGGTGTTCCCTCAGGCAATTACAGTTACAAGCCCAAACACAGTTGTTTTCCTGCATTTATATTCCTGTGGGTGTTCTTGAACATAAAATGCCAGAAATCAAACCACACAAAAATCAAAGTGATTCTTTGAAGCTTCCACTGCACAGAGAAAACAAAGTGGTTGTTTATCATAAATAAACAATATGTGCATATGTTTTTCTGGTTTTGCGCACTACAAATTCTCAGGATGGTCCCATGGTGGTTGGATTGGCTCCCCAGGATGCCAGTGACAGGCTTATTATGTTTCAGGTACAGTATCCTGTAATTTACCATGCCTGTTACCATAAACATAAACATAACTTGATTTTTTTTTTTACATAATGTTGTGCAATATGTTTTGTTGATGTACATATAAATGATTATTAAGTTATTGTTATAAGTTATTTACTAAAATGGTCTGGTGTTCCACAGAATCGCTTTGACAACCTATTACGCAAGTACATCACATACACAGGTGGGGAGGAGCTCTTTGGCCTACGCGTTACCCAGCATCCTCAGTTGCTTGAGATCAGGAAACAGTTGACACTTCTCCAAAAGCTCTATGGACTTTACAACAGTGTCATCGACACAGTCAACGGCTACTATGATATCTCATGGGCCGACATCAATATTGACAAAATCAACAATCAACTACTTGAGTTTCAGTCGAGGTGAGAAGGTTACAGAAGTCAAACTACATTTCTGAATATCCACTTTCTGGCAGTCATATAATAAGTTACACTGAAAAGCATGAAAGCACCAGGGGATTTCAATTGTGCTACTCTGTTCCGGATAATCACAGAAGCTTCTCAGAGAATAGAATCATTCTCCATGCCTGTCAAGGACTGAAATTAAAGTCAGCTGTGTTGGAGCAAGTACCAGTGTAAGGCCCCGATCAGACAGAACGCATTTTTTGTAGTGAGAGGCGCCTTTTTAAAATTGTTTTGTATTGGCAGTGAGCAGTTTGCGCGCTGTTTATGGGAGCCTCGCGTTTTTGCAGGAGCGCTCTAAGCGGCTGAAGTTGAAAAAAAAGCAACTCTGAGCAGAAAAGTACGGAGCCCCACACATGGCATGCAGGAAAAAAATAGTAGGCTAAATCGTGTGCACCATTTACTATTTCGTTCCCTCGATTTATAAATTGTGAGCACGATTTACTGTGCACGATTTACTATTTTGTTCCCTCAATTTATAAATTGTGCGCACGATTTACTAATTAGTTCCCTCGTTTTGCTAAATCGTGCACACGATTTATAAATCGAGAGAACGAATTAGTAAATTGCGCGCACGATTTAGCAAATCGAGGGAACGAAATAGTAATTGTGTGCACGTTTTAGTACATCAAGGGAGCAAATTAGTAAATCGTGTGCACGATTTATTTATTTTTTCTTGCATGTCATGTGCGGGGCTCCGTAGAAAAGTGCCCGACATCATTCACATTGTCCAATCGAATGAAACCAAAGAGCGCTCGCGCTACGCTGATTCAGTGATTGGCTAGCAACATAAAAACCCGCAGCGCACTGCTCTTTTTTCTAAAATCAACCAAAAAAGGCAGTGCGGTGCGCCTCGCGTTTTCAGACCTGAAAAACACATTCTGTCTGATCGGTGCCTAACACAATAATCTTTGCAGAATAATAGGATGATATTCAATTTAAAGTATACTTGAGTTCAATACAATAGGAATAAACATTTTTATGGTTTACAACAAAGTAATTTGCTGTCAGCAAGATTGACTTTATATGCAGTCACTCAACATTAATTTTCAGTAATATTGGACAAAATTGTACAAATCTAATGACGCAGGCACAACAATGAACTTGAACAATGAACTCACAACCAGTGCAATAGTCAGCATATGCATTACCCTACTGAGGTAATTTTTTTGTTTTTGTTTTGCAGGTGCCGTAAGCTGCCACGGGCCCTTAAAGAGTGGCAGGCATTTCTGGACCTCAAAAAAACTATTGACGACTTTAGCGAGTGCTGCCCCCTGTTGGATCTAATGACTAACAAAGCCATGATGACACGGCACTGGAAGAGGATTACTGAGGTTACAGGTCACACATTTGAGGTCGAAACTGATAACTTCAAGCTCCGCAACATCATGGAAGCCCCACTACTAAAGTACAAAGAAGAAATTGAGGTCAGAATTTAGTTTTATAGATACTTATAGATAGATTAGATCATAGTTTTGGCTCTTTATTTCGCAAAATGAAATAAAGAATTCTGTTATAACTGTAACAACGCATTGGTGCAGGACATCTGTATTAGTGCTGTGAAGGAGCGTGACATCGAGCAGAAACTCAAGCAAGTAATTGCGGAATGGGACAACAAGACTTTTACCTTTGCTCACTTTAAAACCAGAGGTGAGCTCCTTCTGAGAGGCGACAGTACATCGGAGATCATTACTAACATGGAGGATAGCCTGATGGTGCTTGGTTCACTTATGAGCAACAGGTGAGCCGTTAGACCAACATTTAATTTCTCTGGAAAATTTTACTATCCATGCAGCAGTAGTTTATTTCTAGTAACATTTTATGGCTATGAAAATATCCACAGCAGTTTTATAATAGTCTATTAGGTAGCACTTTATTTTGATAGTACACTTTAGATATTCTACTAACTATAAGTAACTTTGCCACTACATGTCAAATACAAGTCATTAGAGTGTTAGTAGACTGTGTAATATCTACTAACACTTTATTTTGATGCTCCCCCAACAGACATTCTGCTGACTGTAAGTAACTTTGCAAGTACATGTCAACTTATCCTACTAACATTAACTATAACCCTAACCTCTACAGTCTACTAATAATTCTCTAATGAGTTAGTTGACATGTGGTTGCAAAGTTAGTTAATAGAATGTCTAAAGTGGACTATTGTAGTAAAGTGTAACATTATTCATTGTGAATTTTGCAAATTGACTGTGTTGTGGCATTGCATTTAAATGTACATGTTGTGACTTATGTCTTGTGTTCAGTACACTTAATAAAGCATAGGTCTATCAAATGGAATGAATCAATACCAGCTACGTCGCATATCCTCTGATGTCCCTGACCTTGTGTCTCTCTATAGATACAACACACCATTCAAAGCTCAGATCCAGAAGTGGGTTCAGAACCTCTCCAACACAACAGATATCATTGAGAACTGGATGACTGTGCAGAACCTCTGGATTTACCTTGAGGCTGTTTTTGTTGGTGGAGACATAGCCAAACAGCTGCCGAAGGTAATATCAGTAATTTGGTGTCACTCCCAAACATTGACACCTAGTTTTTAGTCATTATATTGAAAGTGAAGAAACAATGGGGTGAAGAAGGCGGAGTGAAGAAACAAGACTAGGTCATGATTAATTTCAAATCCACATATATCCACAGCATCATAGCTCAATGTGAAAATTAAATGTTATAGGACATCATAAGATGAATTTTACAATATGACATGTTTCTCCCCAAAATAGAAAAAAAAACTTATTATAATTACATACTTAAAGGGGTCATCGGATGCCCATTTTCCACAAGTTGATATGATTCTTCAGGGTCTTAATGAAAAGTCTATAACATGGTTTGGTTAAAATTTCTCAATGGTAGTTAAAATCAGCTCTTTTCACAGCAACCCGTTCTGTTGCATGTTTCTTTAAATGCTAATGAGCTCTGTTTACTTCAGCCGCATTTAGCCGTGAAACTTGCTAACTAGCACATTATTAGGAAAGGCGATTTGCAACGATTCATAAAAAAAACGCTTATACTCACTTCTTCTGTAGGTGAGGCTGGATCACAAATGAATCGCACGAACATAGACGCATTTAGGCAGATCTTGGGGCATATTCCCTTCAAAAAACGAAAGTAATTCACTGCGTCTTAGATGTCGGGAGTAAATGACGACTGTTATATTCATTACTACACCCAACAACAGAACACCTCAATCGCTTAGGAGACATTTTTGTCTATGTCCCTGCTCCAGCATCGAAACAATGGTGGTCGGACTGTTACAGCTCACTCAGGGCGGGTCTAAGGTAAAACACCAGTGTCAATCAACTATCGTGGGAGCGGCCTTGGTCTGTGTGACGTCACACAGACAAGAAGCTGAGAATGGCTTGATTTGAAAAAGGGGAAATTATTTTTAGGGATTAAATAAAAACCACTGGCTGGATTTTTATCATTATAGGGTGGATGTGTACACACACTGCCAAAACACATTTATGTTCAAACAACGTGTAAAAGTGAATTTTGCATCCGATGACCCCTTTAAAATGGTTTACAAGCGCACTTTATGATTGAAATAAGATATCCTTACACTAAAATAATTATATTATATATTACAGTAATGAGATTTTTATAAACTTTCATTTTCAGCATTTTGTTTTGTTTTGTTTGGTTTAGTTTTGGTGTTTTTCTTTTTTTTTTTTTTTGTGAAATGCCACAGATGTTGTTTTTTTTTGGCAGTTTTGAAAAATTTAATATTTCATGTGAGATCTTATTAACAAAGTCAAATGAATATTTCTGTTTTAGGAGGCAAAGCGGTTCTCCAACATTGATAAATCCTGGGTGAAAATAATGACTCGAGCTCATGAGATGCCTAATGTAGTCCAGTCGTGTGTTGGAGATGAGACTATGGGTCAGCTGCTGCCTCACTTGCTGGAACAGCTAGAGATGTGTCAAAAATCCCTCATAGGGTATGTCACACAACTGTTTATCAGTCAAGTCCTTATATAAGGATTCAGCAGTTTCTATAGCAAGATGCACCTGGGACTTGGGAACTAGGTTGAGGGAAAATAAAAATCTGTGGTAAACGAACATGTGACTTTTGAAATCTCATATTTTTGAGTTGCATTTTTTGGCAGGTGGAGTAGAACTCTTTGTAGTGCAGCTGATTTAAGCAATCTCTTTTTCTGCTTTACAGGTATCTGGAGAAGAAGCGATTGCTCTTTCCACGTTTCTTCTTTGTGTCAGATCCCGCCCTGCTGGAGATTTTGGGCCAAGCATCTGACTCACACACTATCCAGGCTCACCTACTCAACATCTTTGACAACATCAAATGTGTCCGCTTCCATGAAAAGGTGATCACTACTTTAAATAAGCAAATATAACCCTTTGATTTTCTACAGTATTTGGTGACCTTACGTTTCAATAATATAGACATGCTGGAACAGTTGCTTCATGTCATGGTCATGTTTTCGGACCATTATTTTATAAAATATTTGCTTTATCAGTAAAATATCTGCTTTTTGATATTAAACCAACTTTTCACAACAAATTGCTTTTAAGATGTATGATAAGATTCTGGCGATATCATCACGAGAAGATGAGACAGTTGAGCTGGACAGGCCCGTCATGGCAGAGGGCAATGTGGAGATCTGGCTTAATGCGCTACTGAAAGAATCCCAGAGGTCTTTGCACCTTGTCATCCGTCAGGCTGCACTTGCCATTCAAGAATCTGGCTTTGAGTTGATCGAATTTTTGGACTCCTTTCCTGCACAGGTATGCAAGATACTGACACACATTGTACTGCAAATTAAGCAACATGCTACAGTATATTATTCAGATTGCTGCTTTCTGTGGTTTAGGTTGGTTTACTGGGAATCCAGATGATCTGGACGAAGGATTCTGAGGATGCTTTGAGCAATGCCAGATATGACCGTAAGATCATGGCTAAAACCAACCATTTTTTTCTTGAGCTCCTCAACAATTTGATTGACATGACAACAAAGGACCTTGGAGCTGTTGAACGAACAAAGTATGAAACACTAATCACCATTCATGTACACCAGAGGGACATCTTTGATGATTTGGTGAGTGCCTTAATCCAGATTCTGTTAATCCAGTTTATATGCTACATGCTACAAATGTTCAGGTAAAACCTAGTTGATAAACAAACCTCAAATTTTTTTTAAAGCTTTACAATAGCCAAAGTTTTAGTTTTTGCAGTTTTAAGCATTCATAGACATGTCTTTGAGACAAATCCAAAAGATAACCACCCAGCAAAAATGAATCTCAGTGCAATGTCTGTTCTTGTCACACAGTGTCGTTTGCACATCAAAAGTTCCACAGACTTTGAATGGCTGAAGCAATGTCGCTTTTACTTTAATGAAGACTCGGATAAGATGATGATCAATATCACTGATGTGGGTTTCGTGTACCAGAATGAGTTTCTAGGCTGTACTGACAGGCTGGTCATCACTCCTCTCACTGACAGGTGCTGCTGGCAATTACAAGCTTATTTACCTCTATTTTCCACTGTGGGGCCATTTATGTATAATTACAAGGCAGATGTGATTTCGGTAACACTTTATTTTACAATGTCCTTGTTACACGTTATGTGTATTTACTATTATAATAACAATAAATTATGCATAATTACATGCAAGTAACCCTAAGCCAAACCATAATCCTAACCCTAACCATATAGTAAGTACATGTAGTTAATTAATTTTGCTCAGTACTTAAATGTATAATTACACTGTAACAAGGACACCTTAAAATAAAGGGTTCCACTTTATATTAAGTGGCCCTAATACCTGTGTACTTACATAGTAACTAGATGTGTACGTAGTATGTAATCACAGTGTAAGGACACATTGGTACATAGTATCTACAGCTGTAATATTTCTGTAACTACACACGTAACAACCCTCAGAATGGTTTGTGTATAAGTACAAATGTGTAACAGGACATTGGTAACAACACTTTTTTCACTTCACTAAGTACTTGTGTAACAGGAATTATATCACTACATTTTGTAACAACATACTTTCATTACCAAAAAGTGGTGTTACCAATGTCCTGTTACACATTTGTACTTACACATACCATTCTGAGGGTTGTTACATGTGTGTAGTTACAGAAATATTACAGCTGTAGATACTATGTACCAATGTGTACTTACACTGTGGTTACATACTACATACACATCTAGTTACTATGCAAGTACACTGGTATTATGGCCACTTAATATAAAGTGAGACCAAATAAGGTAACACTTTAGAATAGGGGTCCAGAATAATGCATTAGTTAAGCATTAATTAATGGTTAACTTGTTCACAATTAAGCATTAGTTGAGCACAAACACACTAGTAATTAATGATTAATTTACCATTTAGGGAGCTCAGATTATGCATTAGTTAAGCATAAATAAAGTAGTAGTTAATGATTAACTTGTTCACAATAATGCATTAGATAAGCATGACCACACACTTAATTAATGATTAACTGAACAAATAATAAGGGTATATTAGCCATTGTTTACAATTTATTAAACATTTTATAGACACAAATTTATGCTATCAATAAACAAAAATAAGCTAGTAATTAACAATTAACTGAATGTACAGTAAACACATTTGAGCCATTATTTACAACTTAATAAGCCATATATTATTTTTGTGTAGTGATGTAAATATATTTCTATAATTCACCATTTATTAAGTTGACTGAACAATAAGCTAGTAATTATATTTAATTACTGCTTAAATAAGCCAATAATTATGGCTTAACTGCCATTAATACAGTACTAATAAAGGCAATTTGACCCCCTATTCTAAAGTGAAAGTTATATCCACATTAATTACGGCACTTATTGAGTGATATTCAAGTTTATTGACCATAATAAGCCAATAATTATGGCTAAACTGCCATTAATACAGTACTAATAAAGGCAATTTGACCCCCTATTCTAAAGTGAAAGTTATATCCACATTAATTATGGCACTTATTGAGTGATATTCAAGTTTATTGACCATAATAGGCCAATAATTATGGCTTAACTGCCATTAATACAGTACTAATAAAGGCAATTTGACCCCCTATTCTAAAGTGTAATAGTAATAAGTGAAAGTTATATCCACATTAATTACGGCACTTATTGAGTGATATTCAAGTTTATTGACCATAATAAGCCAGTAATTAACTAATGCATTATTCTGGACCCCTATTCTAAAGTGTTACCAAATGTTTTTACAGTGCAAATGTTACATTTGATTAAGATTAAAATATATTGATCTCTACACCATTTTCAATACATTTCCCAGATGCTACATCACTTTAGCTCAAGCTCTGGGAATGAGCATGGGTGGAGCCCCAGCTGGGCCGGCTGGAACAGGAAAGACAGAAACCACTAAGGACATGGGCCGCTGCCTGGGCAAATATGTGGTGGTATTCAACTGCTCCGATCAGATGGACTTCAGAGGCTTGGGCAGAATTTTTAAAGGTGCCACACGTGTGCTCAATGCACATTATAAAAATGAATGTAACTTTATTCTTGCAAGTTAAAAAAAATAATAATATCCATGTAATATAATCATGAATGGCAATATATGCTTGTAAGCACATGTATTGTCATTCATTGTAATTTGTAAGCAATCATCTCTAATTCATTACCCATACGCAAGTAATATTCGGGTGATATGGTGTGTGAAATTAAACATGAGTAACCCATTTCTTAGATTTTTTTGTCATTTTATTAGGATGTTCATGTTCTTATTGCATACTTGAAGATAATTTTTTTCTTTCTTTTTTGTGTCTTTAGGTCTTGCTCAGTCTGGCTCCTGGGGTTGTTTTGATGAGTTTAACTGTATCGACCTGCCAGTGCTTTCAGTAGCAGCTCAGCAAATCGCCATTGTACTCACCTGTAAGAAAGAACGGAGGAAGAACTTCATCTTTACGGATGGAGATAACGTGGAGATGAACCCAGAATTTGGCATCTTCCTCACCATGGTGGGCTGGTGTCTTTATGTCTTCTTTCAAATATCACACATCTCACAAATATTTACTTTAACACTAGGAAGCAGGAACTAATAAATGGTATACATAAAAGTATTGCAGTGGTTTGCACATTTTTTCACTGTAAGTGTAAACACATAATACACACAACTGTGACTGCACATCGTCATTATTAATTGGTGTTTTTTTATCATATTGCCACTCTTTAAATAAATAAATACAATTTTAAAATTTCTAAAACAGTACAATCAGATGCAGAGAAACTATTTACTTTTGGTCAATTCCTATTTTCTATTTCATATTATATAGAACACATGAAACATTACAGTTACTTACAGATATCTCCTTTAGATACAGTTATTTATAGATATATCATTACTGCTTGTGAAAATCTGTGGGAAAAGACTAAATGAAATGGTGGTTTCAGTGGAAAAAGTGTACACATATTAACACTTACCTTAATGCAAACAATGTACAGTATGTTGTTTTTTTCACATTTAGTTTTTTTTTCCTCCCTACAGAATCCTGGATATGCAGGGAGGCAGGAACTTCCCGAGAATCTGAAAATTAACTTCCGCTCAGTGGCGATGATGGTTCCTGACAGACAGATAATTATCAGAGTGAAACTGGCAAGCTGTGGCTTTATTGACAATATTGAACTAGCCAGGAAATTCTTCACTCTATACAAACTGTGCGAGGAGCAGCTCTCTAAACAGGTGACTATCATTAGTAGCAATGTACTTTATAACTAATAATCAGATATTCACTGAGCTCTGCCCCACTCATTGTGAACTAGATATGAGCAATATCATTCGAGTACGAGAGCGATACCGGCTCTATATCAGCATGGCTGTGATTAGGAGGCAATCATTAACTAACGTACTCTACGATTAGCTCAGTGAATAATAAAAAAAAAACATAGACCCAGCTAGAACAAACAGAGTGATACAAAATTGTGAAAGGGCATTCCTGTAGCGATACCAGTACAATATCTCACGGTTCTCAACCAATCAGATTTGAGAACCAGAACGAACTGTTGTATAATAACAAATAATGCTAGAATATACAGTAAACTATTGTTGCTCAGGAACTTGAGACAATGACTGTATCCAGGTACCCAGAGGATAAACATGGTATTTTTTTCCTTGCTTCCAAATCTTTAACTAAATCTTGACAAGTGTATGCTGTGGATTAAATGTGTCGGCCTTCATTCTTGAATAAACTTGTACATAATTATACATAACTTATTTGACATTTTGAATAAGGTTGTGGTAGAGGTGAAGTTTACTAAAGTAAAAAGTGCCATTGTGAGTATGTTGTAGGCATGTTAATAATAGATCTGTTCACTTACATTTTCAGCAATTTTAGGTCATTTTAGGCAATTTTGGTCATTTTAGACCAGAGAACTATAGTGTTTTTTTTTTTTTTTTTTTTATATTGATTGATTGATTTGTTTATTTATTGCTGAGCTTGAGTTGGGTTTCCTTTTTTCTCTTAGGTCCACTATGACTTTGGTCTCCGCAATATCCTGTCCGTCCTGCACACACTTGGAGCAGCAAAACGGGCCAATCCTAATGACACAGAGTCCACTATTGTCATGAGAGTTCTGCGAGACATGAACCTGTCCAAACTGGTAAGAGTGCCAGCATACATACAGACATAGTTTTCACATTTGAGGAACCAATGGAACGAACAGTCATACCTTCGCTTGATTATAGATTCTCTCTCATATCAATTTGCAGTTCAGTATCAGAATTCCTTTCTAAAATCGTCTGTCATAACAATGAAATGTGTCTCTGTCATTTAAGATTGATGAGGATGAGCCATTGTTCCTGAGTTTGATGGAGGATCTTTTCCCTGGAATTAAGTTGGATAAAGCTGGATACCCTGATTTGGAGTCAGCCATAGACAAACAGGTTATTTGGTTGATAATTAAAAATTACACTTACTCCAAAATTTTAATGAAGTAGGAATCAAAATGTTGTCTTTATTTTTTTGTCCTACTAGGTGACTGAGGCTGGTCTGATCAATCACCCACCATGGAGGTTAAAGGTCATTCAGCTATATGAGACTCAAAGAGTCCGTAATGGGATGATGGCACTAGGACCCAGCGGAGCAGGAAAAACAGCCTGCATTCATACTCTAATGAAGGCCATGACCGGTGAGAATTAGACATTAGGCACAGAAACCAGGCCATTACCATTATTATTTAATTATTGATGTTTACTTAATTTGTGATTTTGATTGTAAAACAATATGTCTAGATTGCGGCCAGCCTCACAGAGAGATGCGTATGAACCCTAAAGCTATAACTGCACCTCAAATGTTTGGTCGACTTGATGTGGCAACCAATGACTGGACTGATGGAATCTTTTCCACTCTTTGGAGGAAAACACTCAGAGCAAAGAAAGGTAGATCACTTATTTAGAAAAGGGAATAGAATATGCATGAAGCTTTGTTCAGCTTGATGTGTGCTCCCGGCGCCTATTTATACTATAGTCGCACCGGTAGTGACGTCATGGCTGTCGCCGGCCAACGAGTTGGTGTTTTTTCAATGTATGCTTCAGACACGGGTCACGATGAGGCGTTCCCCATAGCAACCCCTAGAGGACGCAGTTCGAAGTTCCCATGAAAGGGAACTGTATTTCCTGCAATTATTCATATATATAGCAAAGCATCTTCAAAGTATAAAGCACTGAACATTAAAACTATTAAGCAGACTTGACATGTCTGGTCTGAAATGTGCAAAAACACTGCTATTTTTAAGGGAGTAAATGTTTTAATATATGTGAGCAGAGCCCCTCAGGGCTTTTTTGTCTGGTCAGTTGTGCAAGAAATCTGATGGTTTCCAAAGTGGTAGAAAAACCTCTCAAACAGGCAAGAGTGTACTATTCCCTCCCATTACATAAAAGGCAGTGCGATCTATAACACATGAAAGAGAATGCTTCATTTAAATGGGAAAAACATGCTGAAGCCTATCGACTAGGGTTTTTAAATCAATGAGCAAGTGCAGACATCAAACAAGCCTTTAGACACTAATGGGCAAATTAATCAGCCATAAGATGTCAAATGTCAATCATTGATCATAATGATTGATGGAAGCCGCAGCATTATGCTTTTGTGTTTCTGTATCTGTTACATTTCTCATTTGTACTTCTTTTTTTTTTTATAGGGGAACACATATGGATTGTCCTTGATGGGCCAGTTGATGCTATATGGATTGAAAACCTAAACTCAGTCCTGGATGATAACCGCACACTGACATTGGCCAATGGTGACCGCATTCCCATGGCCCCCAATTGCAAGATTGTGTTTGAGCCACACAACATCGATAATGCCTCCCCAGCCACAGTGTCCCGTAATGGGATGGTGTTTATGAGCTCTTCTGTCCTTAACTGGAGCCCTATTTTGGAGGTGGGTGATGAGGAACAAGTACTGAATCATATTAGTATATATGACATATAGTATATAATATATTACATGTGATACATAATTTGATACAATGTACTTATTGTGTACATACATGTTTTTACAGTGTACTTATATTTGAAAATACTGTCCTGTAATTACATTTGCAATTAATTTATGTAGGTACATCTATAATTACATTGTTAACTTTACCTCTAGCCCTTAAACGTAACCATACCAAACCTGCCCCTAACCTTACCCATATCCTACCTATAGGATAGCAGCAAAAGTGTTTTGCGATTTAACATGAACACAATAGATATATTGTACCTAACAATTCAATATTTTATTATTAAGTACATAGTGTTTAAAGGGGTCATCAGATGCCCATTTTCCACAAGTTGATATGATTCTTTAGGGTCTTAATGAAAAGTCTATAACATACTTTGGTTAAAATTTCTCAATGGTAGTGTAAAAAACACATTTTTTACCCTGTCAAAATCAGCTCTGTTTTCAGCAAGCCATTTTAGTCCATGTTGCTTTAAATGTTAATGAGCTCTGCTCACCCCGCCCCTCTCTTCCGTGGGGTGACGAGCAGAATCAGCAGACTGTGTAAACTTCAGTCGCGAAACTGGCTAACTAATGCTGGGTACACACTAAAAGATTTTTAAAATCTCATAAGATCTTCAAAATGTGAGAGACCACAAACATGAGGACAAAAAATCCTAGATTTA